GTGGTGTGGATTACTTGTGGATTATTGTGATGTTTTTATCAGCTGTTTGGACTCTCATTCTGACGGCACCCATTCACTGCAGAGCATCCGTTGCTGAGACACTAATGCAATGCTACATTTCTCCAAATCTGATGAAGAAACAAAACTCATCCTAATCTTAAATGGCCTGAGAGTACATTTATATTTTTGGGTGAACTAGTCCTTTAAGTTTTTAATAAATGTATAGAGTTATTATAGATAAATGATTTTTCTATAATATGTGTGTGGTCATTTTCACTTAAGTTAATTTATTCTTCAGATTTCATGGCTGACCCACAGGTCTCGGGTCCGCGCTTTGGTTTTGAACATGCTGTGTTTGTTTGTTTGTGTTGTAGAACTCTGTCTTTCAGAACGGCGAGGTAGGGAACAATAGTTTGACATATTTCATATCAGTCCTCACACACCCTTCTCCTCAGAACTAGACTCCTGTCGACCCGTGTGTTTCTTACTAATGACACCTCTGTGAATGTTTGCACGGCCTGCAGACTGATGATGACACTTCCCCCACCTCAGACTTTACCCGTGGAGACTGCTGGTGTTTAGCTGTAGTCTGGTTGGATCTGTTGAATGCTGTTGGTCTGTAGTGGTCCTGTACCCGTTCCCCTCTCTCCAAATCTCTGTGCTATAAGAAACTTTTCTCAGTTTCCACTCTCCACCACCAATCAAAATCACAATAAGGCAGTTTTTGGACTTCTGTTATGCAGTAAGAATGATGAAGTAAAGAAACAAGAGGCCATTCATCACAGTGATTTCACCAAAGCTAAGAGAAGTTCACAGGCACACATGAAGCAGTGGTAAAATCCCTGTAACACACTGCTAATGTTTTTTTGTTTTTATTAAAAAAACAGCAACATGATGAAAACATCAGCAGCAGTATGTATTCTGTTCACATCAAGGACGGTAACTGTAAGCATAAAGTTTTAATAATAGTCCTAATTCTAGGAGAATAGTGACGTCCACACCAGTTATATAATAACAACAGAGGAGCAGTGCTGTTGGAAACACTTTCAGAGTCAGAGTTTTTTCATGTGATTTTTTTTCACAAGCCAGTTTTTTCGCAAACCTGCAGCTGATTCTAAAGATTTCATTGGTCATGTTAATCACAGCGTTGATTGCCTACATAATGATGAAACAAATACTAACCCCAAAATTAACCATAACAATAAAGTTGTAATAATCATCGTAAAAGAATAGCAATGTCCACACTAACGATATTGATGGAATCTCTTTCAGAAGGTTTTTTTTTTCATGTGATTTCAAACCAGTTCAGCCTAAAGTTTTCATCGGTTATAACTGAAATGCTGAAACTAATATTAACCACTAACTCTAACCTAAACCAGAAAGTTTTCATAATCGTTTTAAGAGAATAGTGATGTCAATTGAATAATTTTTAGAGCAATTTTTAATAAAGCAATAAGCCCCATGAAGCCGTGGTTTACAGTGAATTTATAACAGCTAAGGGGCGTTGTTAGGCACGACGCGAAGCGGAAGCGTGAAGTGTGCATAACAGCGCCCCTTAGCTGTTATAAATTCACTGTAAACCACGGCTTCACGGGGTTTATTGCTTTTATAAAATGGTTATTCCATATACGTAGTGAGGTTTCACAGAATAAAACAAAACAAATAAAGTGTAATGATATTAATAAAAACAGTATTCTTCCATCAAACAATGTAGTTCCTCAGAATCAGTTGTGGTTGCAACAAAGTGGTTGCCAAGCAACACACAGAAGTAAACAAAGGTGTATGTTTGTAGTGTAATTTACAACAGCTTCGAACTCAGCGGCTCAACCAATCAGAATCAAGGACCAGAACTATCCATTTTATTTATTTATTTTTCGCGAGCCAGTTCAGCGCAAACCCTGCCACTTTGGTTCTAAAGGGTTCATTGGGAATATTATTTACAGTGTCGATCAGATCAATCTTGCATGATTGGGTTGACCAATGAGATCAGCTGTGGGCGGGGTTTACGCTGAACTGGTTTGGGGAAAAAATGGTGCATTTGTTTAAGCTGAAAAAAGATAAAAACGTTAACATCCAATCAAAATCCGACGGACTTAAAGGCTCTCAAGCACTTAAAAGCGGCAGAAAACAACTGCAGCAAGCTTAAACAAAATCTTATCATCTGATGGTGTGGATGCTAATATAGTTATTATAGTTATTGCTCTTGGTGTGAATGGCCCTCAGCATTAAGCCGTTTACAGTTGCCTAGGAACTGTTGTCTGTTGTACTAATCTATGGTTTTAGAGTTTAGTCGTCCACTGTTTTCTCAACATGACCTCTGATATTTCCCAAGGGTACCCAGTGAAGGAGAGGCCCACGGTCGGGCGTACAGTTTGAGGTGAGGTTTTCATAGATCCTCTGTCTTATGTGGTATTTGTTGTTGCCTCCTCCGGTCAGTCGACAAGAGTCTGTGTTGATTGAAATGGTTCAGATGACCAGTGTACAGTATTTGACTATGCGTGTGTGTGTGTGTGTGAGGTTTCTGATTGTTTGGTGTATTTTGCATGTTTTCTAATCATTGAGCGCTGTCTTCTATCTTCCTGATGCAGGTTTTACCATTCTAAACTACCTTGCTCATTTCTCAGTCCCTTTATAGTAGGGAGGCACTGATACCGAAAATCTTAATACCTCAAATAAGCAAAAATGGACGTTCAACATCAGCCAGTAGATGTCTAATAGAAACCAATTCCACTATATATATACAAAATATAATGTGTGTCTAATTTACGGTTTTGTTTTAGCTTTATTGGCCACAGATTTTTTTTCCACGCACCTTATTGGTTTTGTAAAGTTGCTCCAGAAAAAAGGCCCGTTCACACCAAGAATGATAAATATACAGATAACAATATATATATAACAATATATTAGCGTCCACACCAACGGACAATAACGTTCTGTTTATTATAAGTGCGTGATGCAGTTATGTTGTCTGGTGATTTAAATGCTCAAGCGCTTGAAATTTGAGCAGATTCTGATTGGCTGTCGATGTTTTTATTGCTCATTAGCCGAAAAAATCGCTCTTGAAAGTGTTTCCGCCAATATTGTTCCTTTGTGTCGTTATAGTTATATCTGTGATGTGGACTTTGCTATTATCAGAGAATTATAACGATTATTAAAACTTTATAGGTATTGTGCTTGGTGTAACCGGCCCTTAAAAGTCTGTTCGCACTAATAACGATAATCATAACGATAGCTACATTAGTGTACAAACCAACGTGCAATTAAATAAGTGCGCCCTGCAGTTTTGTCGTCTGCTGCTTTAAAAGCTCAAGCGCTTTAAAGTTGGATGGAATCTGATTGGCTGTCACAGTTTTTTTCGTTCATCAGTTGGAAAAAACGTTCTGAAAGTAATTCCAACGATATTGTTCCTTTGTGTTGTTTTCGTTATTGCTGTAGTGTGGATGTCGCTATTCCATAGAATTAGAGTGATTATTAAAACTCTGTATTTATAATTATTGTATTTGATGTGAACGGCAATTAAAGTTATCTTCATGCCAATAATGATAACCATAATGATAACTATATTAGCGTACAAACCAACGTTTGATAAAATAGTTTATTATAAGTGCGCACTGCAGTTTTGTCGTCTGTCGCTTTAAAAGCTCAAGCTCTTTAAAGTTGGATGGAATCTGATTGGCTATCAATGTTTTTATTATTCATTAGTTGGAAAAATAGTTCTGAAAGTGAATCCATAGATATCACTCCTCTGTGTTATCATCGTTATAGTTGTAGCGTGGACATCACTATTCTCATAGAATTCTAACGATTATTAAAACTTTATATTTATAATTATTGTATTTGATACGGCCCTTAAATAACTATAACCATAATACTAACTATATTAGCGCACAAACCAACTCTGATAAAATGATATATTGTAATTGCGCACTGTAGTTTTGGCGTCTGCCGCTGTAGGGGCTGAATATCTTTAAACTCAGATGGATTCTAATTGGCTGCCAGTCAGTTGGAAAAATTATTCTGAAAGTTATTTCAACAATTATCTGCGTCAATATCGTTATAGCTGTGGTGTGGATTTCACTATTCTCATAGAATGATTATTAAAACTGTTAGACCTGTTCGCAACTATAACGATAACTTTATAAGTGTGCAAACCAATGCCTCTTTAAACATTCCAGTTCCTTAAAGTTGTGTGGATTCTGATCGTCAATGTTTTCATCATTCATCAGCTGCACAAATCGCTCTGAAAGTGATTCCAGCGACATTGTTCTTCAGTGTTATAGCTGTGGTGCCATTCTCATATCATTAGAATGATTATTAAAGCTTGTCCTCGGTGTGAACAGGCTTTAACTCCACAACACCCAAATCAGAGGAACTCTTCTAACTGTTCTAGTCTGTGATGAGAGTCATTGAACGCATGAACGCTTCTGTGTTTGTCGTCAGGAGTGGATCCGGAGAACCCAAGGAGGAAGGCCGTGACTCGAAGCCCAGATCACTGCGCTTCACCTGGAGCATGAAGACCACCTCGTCCATGGAGCCGGGAGACATGATGAGAGAAATCCGCAAGGTGCTGGATGCCAACAACTGCGACTACGAGCAGCGCGAGCGCTTCTTGCTCTTCTGCGTGCACGGCGACGCGCGGCAGGACAGTCTCGTCCAGTGGGAGATGGAGGTGTGCAAACTGCCCCGTCTGTCTCTCAACGGCGTGCGCTTCAAACGCATATCGGGGACGTCCATCGCCTTCAAGAACATCGCTTCCAAAATTGCCAATGAGCTCAAGCTGTAAGCAAAGGGTTCCAAAAAATACAAAACTATAGGGAACGCTAAAAAAGGAATCTGGCCAGGAAGTTTGAGCACCATTGTGAGTTACTGCTTGTAAGCTACTGCTGTAATGTGTAGTGGAGAAAAAAATATGAATGCAAAAAGATGAAAAGAGAAAAAACGCCCTAGCTTGATCTTCATGACCTCTTGATATACGCCTGGTTAAAACAACCATCGAGTGGATCCGGAGAACCCAAGGAGGAAGGCCGTGACTCGAAGCCCAGATCACTGCGCTTCACCTGGAGCATGAAGACCACCTCGTCCATGGAGCCGGGAGACATGATGAGAGAAATCCGCAAGGTGCTGGATGCCAACAACTGCGACTACGAGCAGCGCGAGCGCTTCTTGCTCTTCTGCGTGCACGGCGACGCGCGGCAGGACAGTCTCGTCCAGTGGGAGATGGAGGTGTGCAAACTGCCCCGTCTGTCTCTCAACGGCGTGCGCTTCAAACGCATATCGGGGACGTCCATCGCCTTCAAGAACATCGCTTCCAAAATTGCCAATGAGCTCAAGCTGTAAGCAAAGGGTTCCAAAAAATACAAAACTATAGGGAACGCTAAAAAAGGAATCTGGCCAGGAAGTTTGAGCACCATTGTGAGTTACTGCTTGTAAGCTACTGCTGTAATGTGTAGTGGAGAAAAAAATATGAATGCAAAAAGATGAAAAGAGAAAAAACGCCCTAGCTTGATCTTCATGACCTCTTGATATACGCCTGGTTAAAACAACCATCTTGCAATAATATCGAAACCCTTTCAGGGTCGGCAGGACAGAGATCTGTCGAGCGAATTATCATAACAGACTTAAACCGACTTTTTCCACATGTACAGTTAAGATCTAGAATGTTTTTGTTGTATTGAATTAATGATAGAGTTGTATAATACAAGACTTTCAGCCTACTTACGTGGAGGTGTTGTATAGTCACTATTGAGCTCTGTACAGAAAAATTATGTTCAATGTGTCATACTTGTTTAGTTGCTTTCTTTTCTTTTAGATTTTGACACCACTCAGTTTTAACAGTTCTTTTATAACTTATCAAGACTTGTTTTTAAAGGCACAGTTGATCCAACAATGGAAGTTCTATTATTTTCTCACCCTCATGTGCTCACAAAACCTGCATGTTGTTATTTTTCATGGAAGTAGAACATTTTGAAGAAATATGCAACTTTTTCTGTGGTGAACATGACGATTAAGCTCCAAAAATGAGAAAACACCATCATAATATGCCACACAATGCAACTTGTGCACAATAGCCATATGTTGCACTTTGTGTAACCATTCCAAAAAAGTAAGTTGTTAATCACTGAAAATGTGCAGTCTTTAATAAATAACAGCATGCATGGAATGGCATGAGAGCAGGTCAATAATGACAGAACTTTCCTTTTGGGTGAATTAATTCAGAGTGAGAATTAGATGTGATCATAACATCAGAATTAATGAGTAAGTGTTTTGTAGAGAAGGCAGTGAGTTTCCCAGATGCAGATGGTTTGGATGTACAGATCAGCTAAAAATGAGTCAACGAACGTCTACATTAACATTCCATACAGAGCATACAGTGAGACTAGCATCATGGAGCTGTAGTGCAGAAATCCTGCAGTGTGTTTGGAGCAGGAGTGGCTATAACTCTATAAGATGATGACTCCAAGAAATTTATTTATTAGGCCATTTTATGCCTTCCTGTTCTGTTAACTGTAGAAATTCATCCAGAGAATCCATTTTTGTTGAGTTGTTTTTGTTTAGTAAAATGTAATTTGTTTTGTAATAAGTGGTGATGATGATGAAGATGATGGACTACGACCACTCGTATTGGTACTTTCTACTAGTTCTTTTGTACTGAAGTATCGAAGGTTAAATGTGCAATGCTGTCTATGTTGTATTACTGTAATGCTGATTAAAGAGGTTGTGACTGCACACTTTTAAGGGAAGACGAGCTCAAGTTTAAGTAGTTTGAGAAAAAGGATTAGTGACTAAAAATATTAAAAGGGTAAAGCTGTGATTAAAGCTTTGAATTGAAGGCACTGAATGTTCGAATGTCAGTAGTGATGTTCCATTTTGTGAAGATACATTTCCAGGATTTCCTTTCCTGGTTTTTATTTATTTTCTTTTATTATTTTTTTTAATGGCTGTACGGATGAAACTGTTTGGATGGGGAAGCAAGCTGAAGGCTGAGGATCTCCAAAAATGCAATTAAACTCCAATACATTTCATCCTTCCACACACTCTTCCCATTTATTCTCTGGACATGGTACTGTACATTTCTGCGGAAAGATCCCTTGGGCCACTGTGGTTCAGTCCCACTGGAGCACATTAAAGCATACTTGAAATGAGTCTTTGAACTGAAATGTTTTGTGTCCTTTTTCTGGAGTATATAGCATACCTCATTGCAATCATTATATCAAGTATTTATGAGAACCAACTGAAAACTTAACATTCTTTCTGTTTTGCAGATGATCATATAAGCTTAGGATATAGTAAATACTGCTGACTGTTAAACGAGTCTGTAAACTCAAATGAAAATCCTATAATGTGTAGTTTTCAGTTCAAAGAAACACCTAGGTCATATTTCAGCCCCAAACTGAAAAAAAAAAATAAAAAAATAAGCCTGTTTTAAGACTATTACAATTCTGTATTGTTGACATTTTCGTAAAAATGTGTTGTGTTGGCTTAATGAAAAGATTGTAAGGGACCTAAAATAGGCTTCATTTTCTTTAATATAATATTTAAAATATAATCTGGACATTTCTTCATGAGATTCAGCCTTTGTGAGATTCACTAAACAAGCTAGACTTCATTAAAACCAATGGTCTGCAGGTTACTGATTTTGTAGATGCCCGGACAGGCTGCACATTAAATACAAATAATGCAACTGATTAAGTTTGTTTAGAGTAGCAACTAAATTAAGTTAGTTTCCATTGATGAACAAAAGGAAATAAAGTTCAACATAGGAGATCAATCTTTAAAATATAACAGTAGCAGCTACAATATAATTTATGCATGACAAATTAAAATGTTATTTGTCCTTGCCATCATCTTTTTGAGGCCTTGATTAACAAGCTTGGTGTGAAGATCATCTGAGCGGAATTTGGTTAATGTTGCATTAAATTTGTAGAAGGAATAGCAAAAATGAATTTAAGGAAATGGTAGAAACCACTCGGTAGACCATTTCAGTCAAAGTTATTAGCTATGTCAAAATTCGGACTCTTTGTGGCACTAGAAATTTTAAGAGAGACCCCAAAATTGCAACCAGGAATGTTGAGACCATCCCCAATCAATGTCCCAAATTTCACAACCTTTTACATGTGCCATACACTTCCATGGCAGAAGAAAAAATAAAGCTGTCAAAAATCGCATACTCTCTGAGTAGGTACCTCTTTTTATTTCGCAACCATTAAAACAGTATGGTTTAAATAGTATGAATTTAAGCTGGATGTACTATATCTGTCATTTTGTCATTGCTTCACTGATGTTCATAACTCGTTTCCTGTGGCCTCATGGGATAAAATATTCAAAATCTCACCAGATGTAGCAGGAAATGTTCACCTTGATGTATTTTCACCTTTCACCTGTTTTTTTTTTTTTAATACTGCAAAGTCTGACATATTTTTACACACTGTTTTCATCCTCTATATAGTAGGAAAGTATGTATGTTCGGATGCAACCTAATTACATTTTTATGTTAAACTGTGGCTGTGTGCATGATTTTACACTACAGAAACTCTGAGTTTTGCCATACCAGTTGCTTCCATCTGAAGTCGTAGTCTGTCCAGGATGTCATCCAGGCGTTTGTTCTCGGCAAGATGCAGCATTTTCACTGTGACGCTTGCCTTCAGGCCTGTGCCAACCTCTGCAGGTGAGCTGACCACCCAACCCAAGTGAGGCTTCCAGATGTCTCAGTTTCTTATAAAGTGTCTCCAAGCCACACCGATCTTTATCAAAGACTGTGGTGGAGAGTTCATCACAACCGTGCGGTCTTCACTCTCATGGCTAAGTTCATCTATGGAGTAAAACATTCCTGGCAGGTCCTCATCCAGCTGCTCTAAAACTACAAAACAAGTTATATTAACATGCAATATATCCATCTAATTAGACCCGTGATCAACTGCAGTACCTGTTTTTGCCAGCGTGAGGAGCTGTCTGCGCTCTCCTCTGCTGTAGTGTGTGGGGAAGCAGTAGTCTGCGGCCTGCAATCACCTCACAACTCATAGCATATGCTTGATCAAAGTCATCACCACCCTACACACACATAAACACATTTTACACATCTATAGCATTCTACCACAGATTTAGCACTATTCTAGAGCTCTCATCATAGAAACTAAGAGAGTAAATGAAATTATGTCTCAGAGGTTTTTCCTAAAACTAAAATGTGACACTTACTGACAGTAATGGTGCTATAAATTTAATGAGCGGTTCATCTCTGATTATTCATTGCATACTTGGCTAGGTTAAAATCTCTTCTGAAAATCTCGATATGTGAAATTGAGTCTTTTTCTCAGGTGAAAAATCAGGATACTTCACCAACATGTCCATTTCGTCTCCATTTTGAGATGAGGTGTTGTCATTAGGTATTCTTTTTTCTTACCTTCAGGTTGTCATAATTGAAGTCGCTCTCTTGAACAGTGTCAGTGGTGACCTTGTAGCTGTGGTAAGACTCAATAATACGGTCAAAGAAGTCACAGAACAGGATATATGATTGAGCATCAGCCGCTAAACAGCCCACTGCTTTTGGTCCTGTAGACTGACCTGTCAGACAAAGTCAGACGAGAACTAACTTAAAAAGACTGTCAGCCTTTCCCCCAGCCCAAATACATATTAAATATACATATTATATTAGATTTATAAAAAATGTTAATTAATAATATAATTATTATTATAAAATAATGAATAAAACATTTTCATATATATAAAACAATTTAAATACCGGACAATGACCCACCTGTAGTGCCTTCATAGAACCCCAGGGGTCCACAGATCTATAGAAACCAGGACCTGATATTCACTTGAACCTCATCTGACATGCTTCCTGTGTGTGTGTGTGTGTGTGTGTGTGTGTGTGTGTGTGTGTGTGTGTGTGTGTGTGTGTGTG